CAGGTACTCTATCATCACTAAAATGTACGACACCTATAATCAAAATGGTAACACTAGCCATGCCCAATAACCAAACGCCATACCTTATAAGGATATATTCTCTCTCTTCTAGTGAAGTAGCCACCTTCAAATAGAACCCAGTCTATTTTGATGTCCCAAGCATAAGTGTAGCATCTAATGAGTGCAGAGATAATCAACAGGCTAGAAAGAAGTAATGGAAACCAGATTGGATAGGAGCATCCTTAATGAGATACATGTAAATGTACATTGTACATGCACACAGTTATGTACAAATTGACATAGTTTGCAAGCAAAACTTTCATTATTTATGTTCACAGAGCCACAAAAACAATGAAATTTATGCTCTAAAAAGGAAGTAGTAGAACTAAAACATATTGCCCCACTCTCTCTCTTTATGTAACTTTTCAGAGCAGCTGCTACTAAGAAGTTGATTGTATTCCAGCATTAGATGAGGGAAAGCCTCCCTAGTGCTACCATAATGTCTATGCAGGAAGCATAGCAACAAATGATCTCACAGTTTAGTATAATTATGATAACGTACTTAACTAATGATTCTATATGGAGGAATACATACATCTATATGAGAAACAGAAACAAAAAAAATTGAATACTAGTATACATATATGCATGCATTGTTATAAGGTAAAAACTTGCGTGGAATCAATTTTGACTACATGGATAAATTGATAGCTAGTTAGTCAGTCATAATATTTGTTACATGCAAGTACTGTATCCTAATGTATTATCATAATAAGATATACTAGAAAGAATGTAAAACATTGAGGGGCTCCGCCTCCAGACCGCACCTCCCAGTCACGCCCAGACATACGTTCAAGTTCTTGTAAGTAAGGGCTTCGCCCAATTAACTGTATGGTTTACCACTGGTAGCTAGCATTCTGGCCATACACAGGATAACAGATAAAGTATCGCATGTCAAGTAACACAATAGCAAGATAACTGAGTATCCAGAAATCAGGAAATGAGACATCATAATACAGGAATAGACTCCTTACCTAAAGGAAACAGAGTGGATGAATGTTGGGTAAGAAATTTCCCAAAATTGAATTTTTATAAATTTTTAAAGTTGCAGTCAAAGATCAAATTTCACCAAAAATCAGTAGATGAAAATTCTTAATTTCTACTTTTTCCTGATTCATTGTACATTTTCTAATGCTGTGTAGAAAGTTTGAGCTGATTCCAATTAAAATTGGATTTTTTACGAATTTGCACACCTACTGACCACATCCACTTATAATTTCCTTAAAAAGCCACCAGTGTGACTTTCAGTATAAAAATGGTACCGGTAATCAGAAGAGGATTAGCCAGACAACCCGCATAGAGACAGGACCAATGTAATAAGGTATATGTATGTGTACGTGTAGCCAGATTGGCAAATAAAAATAATAATAATCTGGAACTCGAAAAAATGCCCATAAACAATACCACCTGTTAAAAAATATTGAGTTTCAATATACTAGTTTCAGCTAGTAAATTTGTAAAGGAACACTAGAATAAATATTATTAAGGGATAAATGAATGAAGTTCAAAACTTGCTAAATTTGGATTAATTTGATCTATGTGCATGTTTTCCTTACTGCGAACAATTTTTAAAAGTTGAGATGATTTCTCGGATGAAACTCAAAAATTACGATGTTATTGATGCCAAAGTACCGTCAGAAGAAAGTATTAACTGCAAAAGAAAGAGCGAAACTGAAAGAATGAAACCCGACCAAAGACCCAGCAACTGGTACCAGTGTTAGGGGACCATGGTAAGGGACTATGGATCTGATATACACCTGTGTATATGTAATAATAATAATAATAATAAAATAATACATGTAAATGCATTTTTTTTACTCTTACATGCTATAACAGCCACTATTGTCATTATAAAAATTGCTCCCATCAGCCACCCATTGGCCAGTATAGTCCACGGTGAAGAGACTCCACCCAGTGGGGGGACACGAAGCTTAGCTATGGCCCGACCATGGTTACTGTTCTCCAGCTAATTTATCATAATTTCCTGTAAAGAGAGGGAGAGATGGGAAAATGGATAAAAATCTAAAATATCAGAAAATTAAAACAATTGTTGTTTTATTACTTTAATTCTTTGAATAAGAGTGTTGATCTCTTTTAGTTCATAAAAATACAATATCTCGACATTTTCTTTATAAAACTTGTTGCCACAATCCGAACTTGCAAGCTAAATAAATAAATAGCATAAATAAATAAATAGCACATGTACATTACATTTACGTGTATAGTGTACATGTAGTTTAATATGTGTAAATACTGACTTTGTCATGTTTCTTGAGTATCATTCTAAAGCCAGTGATTCAGTTTCTAAAAAAAAGAAAACTAAACAATAAATCATGAATGTTTAAAATGACCATAACTTAAAAAGTTGACGTCGGAATCAATTCAAACTTGCTACATAGCATAAGGACATCAATATGTGCCACAAAATTTTATTAAAAAATTTGGAGTGATTTTGGGAAAAACCATGAGCTATAGCCTTGGGTATGTGCTAATAAAAAATATTTACTAATACATTTATAGTACAAGATTGAAGCTTTTGATGCATACATGTATTAATATTTTGAGCTGGTTCCAACAATTACTTTTCGACTAGCAAAATGGTCTGAGGCCAAATTTCTTCAAAAATGAATATGACATTTTTACGATACATAATGTTCCTTATCTGCATATCAACTTTGAGTTGATTCGGATCAAATTTGGATTTTTAATGAATTTTTAAGTTGCTAATAAATTGGGCCAATGAACAAAGGCTTTCTAAATTTCTTCAAAATGGTTAGAAGGGAATTCACTATGTTTAAATCATTTCTGATACATAATTATACATGTTCTTGAGCTGCATATCACCTTAGAGCTGATCTCCCTCAAATTCGAATTTTCTATAAATTTTTGAAGTTACTCTGAATGCCATGTACAAGTACATGTACTGTATTGTAGTGCTTGTCAACTCATGAAGCATGCTGTTTAGCTTACTTACAAGTAGCATGCTTTGTGGGAAACCTAGATGCACTGTAAAGTTTCTTTTGTACTGTAATTATGTAAAAAAATATTCATGACTAAATTTTAAGTAACATAACCAATTAAATGATACTTAAAATTATCATTAAGTAATGATGTTAGATATGCTTAAGCAATACCAAAGAGCTTGTACATATGATTTAA